AGGCTAGCTTTCCATGCCTACCTATGCTCTTCCCTGCTATATGTCCAAAACATTTTCTTTTCTAATCAATGCTACAAAGGGACATCACTTCCCCTTTCCTGTTTAAATACAAAGGAAGATTTTAACTTTAACATAGTAAAATTACATATTAACAAAACAAGTATCAAGAAAGAATTACAGTTACAATATTTATATCTATTTTATTTTTATCATAACTAAGGCAAACTATAAATATAATTGTCTATTCTTCCACTCCTCAAAGATTCCGGTAGAATATAATATTACCTAAGTAAACAGAAAGTACATTGGAAGCAACAGCCAAAACTCCAGGATTGACAGAGACATCTTGCTGCCAGGACCGTAACTCAAAGTTCTTCTGTACATTTGGGGCATCCATTTTCAGTCTACAGGCCCATAGTATCCAGCAGACTTTTCCATGAAGCAGAAAATTTCAAAGATAGTTTCGCCTATATTGGCAGTTTCTTAGTCCCTTTCTTCTGTGTCCTGCAGAATATCTGGCAGACTCTTTCATGTAGAAGGAACCCCAAAGGATCATCTCACCTTTATGCAAGTTCAGCAGCCATTTCTCTGCGGGTCCTGTATGTCCAGTTCATTAAGCAGTCCAGGCTAGAGCAGTTTCTTGCTCAAATGGCTAACCAATTCCATAAGGAACCTCTTTGATGTCCATCTTCTTCTCGAAGTAGCTGGTGTTGTCAGGAGCAGATGTGTCTCACTGACATTAAAAGTTTTAAGTTCTTAAAAGATTTTAAATGCCATATTCTGAAGGTCTCTGAAAGATTTAAAGAATACCAATCTAACTGAAATATATCTCTATATATTTAGAAAACCTAACTAACTTGACAACAAGCTTGACTATATTTCTTAATTATGCATTATATTTTAAAATGAGCTGCACAAACACAATACCTTTACCAAGAGCAGAAATATACATATAACAAAATTGACCTAAGTTTGTATCAATAAACCAAGATCCATACCAATGCAATTCTCTATAGCATACACCCCTTTGAATATAAAAGAACATTTATAAACTATATTTGGGACTATGGGCATAGTTATTCTCCAAACTGCTTCCTGTTATTTATTGGGTAATTTCTGAGGGTTGTTCAGAGCAACCTTTCGGGTGGTCTTGGTCCATCAAACCATATTAGTCTGAATGTAATCCACAGGTTCTCTTTCTCCGTGGAAACAAAAATGAACCTCTTTTCTAAAGCAATATATCGTTAGACTCAAATTTTGAATTCAAGATACCTTTGAAATATATATGTTGGCTTATCTTAGCAGTCCCCAGAATCAAATGTCTCTCTGCAGTCAAAAAATTCAAAGATAACACAATAATATATGTAATCCAGACTCTCTGTGAATTTTCCAATTTACGAGACTTGTTCATATGCTATTGCTTTTTCTACACCTTTAATATTTATTTTATTATCTTTATTCTTTAATCTATGACTATATGCACTCTGTCTCTTTAAAGACTTTTTATAAACCATTTATGTCCTTTAATTTCTCTCTATTTCTTCTCTCTCCCAAACCTACATACATTTATCTAACACTGTGACACATTTAGAGTTCCTTTAAGTCTGTATCTGTCCATTGTA